GTGATTTTTTTTTCCAATAGTCACTGAAGGCATTAAATGCCTCACATTCATGCAGATTTAATCCACTTTCCTTTGGACCGAAACTGCCAATATTTCAGTATAAATAGCTTTGTCTGACATAGAAAGAATCAACAGATGCCTTGTGCGGAAAGTCAAAGAGTCATGTCAGTACAGTAAAAGGGTGAAGGTGAAGAAAACTGAGGCAGGAGATTACTTAGCCTATGCGCCCTTATAATTTTCCATCTCTTGCCCACAAACGTACATTTCGAAGTCGATGCCAAAAGCTGAAAAGGCAATTTTTTTTTATTTCTTGCTCCAGCAATGTGCAAGAGATTGTCTTGCAATAATATCTCATTTTTGCTGTAATTCACACATCATAAAACTATCCATTAAAACTGGAAATCTAAAATTCCATCTAAAAGCTTATTTGGTGACAAAGTAGTCCTAGCTCTGAAAATCCATTAAAGTAGACATTAGATGCGCAAAAAAAATGAAAACGCATCTAACATTCTGCAATACATTGACAGAATTTTTAAAACTCTGTTTCATTGACAAAGAACCATTATTCAAGAGAACAGTCAACAAGGTCAATGAATAAAATGGAAATTTACAATTAAGGAGTCTTTTCTGTTCATTCATAGGTACCTTCTTTTTGGTGAATTGGGATTTTGGTCAAAACTAATTCCAGTCTGAACTTTTCACCTGAAAAATTGGCATAAACAGTGGTTTAATTTGTTAATTTCTCACCCCCCCCCCCCCCGATTACTAAGAAGCCCACAAGACGAGCTTCTAATATACTGTCGATACCCACAATACTGCAATTTGACAAACTGGATTCCAAAATGGCACCTTTAAGTTTTGTTTAAAAGGGGGTGAAAATCTGGTGCGAGTTGGACTTAATGCCAGTTATTTGCTCTGGTGTCTAATATCTGATAGTCCTGTGTCTCAAATAAGCATACTAGCAAATATTTATTGGACTAAGATGTGCAATAGGGTATTGCAGGTTAAAATAAGTGTGATCACTAAAGTAACTTCAAGAGAACCTGATGCTGTTTAAGCATATATGGTGCCCAACACTTAGGTAATGTGAGTTTAGATAATAGACATAGATAATGTGAGTTTAACTGCAATACAGCACTAATTGTTTTGCAACACAATAAGAGTACATTGTTACTTATTCCTTTTAAAATAATTCCATTAATGCAGTCCATCACTCCTTCACACCTCCACTCGCAGAAAGTTATCCTTTGATCCTTTACTACATTTACAATTATATTTAATAATGGCAAGAAGTTGGTGTGCAAGTTGTAGGTTTATTGTTCAGGACGAAATAATTTACAATAAAATTTCCAATCTGCAGGTGGAAGGCCATACTTTTAGTTTTCATAAACAATCAAATCATTTAAGAGACTGAAGTCACAGAATATTGCACAGTTGATGCCTTCTAGGCAAACACATGCCTCAAAACATTTTGCAGTGTCCACCAAGAAACTGGAAACAGATATCCAACACTTAAATTTTTGCGGCTCTGGAAATTTTTTTTGTGGGCTCTGGAAATTTCAGACAGAAATTAGAAACTCTTCAATCCTAGTAAAATGTTGGATAGTAATCAGGAGTAACTTCATAATATAATTTCCAATATACCCAAGCCTCCAATAAGAACATTTATATCAACTGCCTAACAACTATAGAGAGAGTGCAGTTGAGATGAGATTAAAAAAAAGACCTGGAGATGCCATCTTTAAAAACATTAACTTTCAATGCTGAAGTACTGCCTACAGAATACGGAGGATGACATCTGAGACACAGGCTGCCATCTGCAGAATCAGATTACTATACAGTAAAACATGATCAGGCTCCCTGCCATGCTTATATTTAGGATAAAGCTAGCCTTGGTGATTTGTGGGATTTGATATTTGAATTCTCTCCAATGCCCAAGGTATAATTGTAACAGAAACTGAGTAGTATCTATGTACGAGCACATCCATTTGAGCAAGCGTAAAGCAATACGGCTTAAACATCTTTTCAGGTTCAGAACTTACAAGACAAAGTGTCCAGATCGTTGCACACAGTCACTCAAGCTCCTTTAGCAGTCAGATTTGGTAACCAAATATATATGCTAACTGCTCTAGCTTTCCTGCTCAGGGTTACAACTCAAAGGGTTGAGGACATATCTAAACTTACACTTCTGCCTAAGATTGCGGCTGTCCAAGCTTCTAGTTTAGCCCCAGGGAGTTGCCACTTATCACTCCCGCCCAGAAATTTATTTTTAGACATAGTAGTCATTGTAATTGATCTTGAAATGGCAAAGCGTGAGTGGACCCACCGGGATTTGAACCCAGAAAATTGCAATCCCAAGTCAAACTCAAATGATTGAGTTGATAGCACTCTGACCAATTATATGAGGCAATTATAAATACCACAGAGTACAGAGTCATCTAGTGTGTAAAAAAAACAAGTCTTAACTAGCGGTAAAAAGAGGGGATGTCGTCTTCACATCTTGAATCATCCAGTAGAAAGACTTGGCTCACAGAATGAAAAAGGGAGGGACTTTGGTTCAATAAGTGCACCTCAACAGTAAGCCGAAGTGTAAATATAAAAAACACAAGACTGGTCTAGCGAAAAAAAAAAGAAATTCTGGGGCAACAATAGCGTCAGCTTGATCGTATACCCAGAATAATTGTTAAACTACTGCTGGCAACCCAAACACATAGAAATGAAATCAGTAGGTGTAATACATACAGAAGGACATCACTCAATATCTTGTGTGTTCTCAGCCCACCGAACATATTGGTCTCAATCAATAGTGTTAAGACCCCCCACCCCCTCGCCCCCTGACAGCTCAAACAAAGTGGAAGCAACCTTTTAACGAACACAAGAGGATGACACTAAAGATCACTGGATAAAGTCTCCACAAACAACACGTTCTTCAATACTGCTTGGAGAATGTTATTCAACCTTATCAAAAACATTTTTTTTTTAAATTGCAATTGTTAACAAACCCCTTTGACATGCCTAGACAATCTGTGAGCCAGCAGCAGTTTGAACAGTTTCTGAGGTGCAACATTTTCTATAATATTGAAATGTTGTCAAAAGAAAAGGAGCCAATTCAGGAAAAAGGTTCTTGTTAAAAAAAATTAGCTGGGGAGCCATTGAGGCCTGGAGCCTTGCCAGCAACAGGAAAGCAAACACATGAATCGGAACTCATCCACTGTTAAGGGGGATGTCAAATAAGGCAGAATCTTCTTCACTCAGGCAAGGCTCACCACCCTATCCTTCAAGCAAAATGCCAGCATTGACCTTATTGCGATGAGTGACCTTCGAATGTGCCCCAAGTTCGACTAAAGGGATGGAATGAGAGAGCCTCGCCCCTGTGAACTGTGCTGGCCCAAAAGAACATTCTTTCTGCAACCATGATTGAAAACCCATGAAAGTCACTCCTCAGAGATTAGAGCATCTGTAATCAGTCCTTGAACAGGAATCTGTTGTGGGCCAGCGAACAACAGAATGTGAGAAGAGCAGAATAGGTTTCTGGCAAGTATCTAATTTGAGAATGTTGTCCTCAAAAATGAGAAGATCGCTGAATGCCACCTGCCTTAAAACACATGGTTAAGGATTTTTCCCCACTACAAAAATGTTGATTGGAGAGAGCAATTACAGACTATTGCTGCGCAAGTTACTCTTCAAACCATAACAGGAGCTCGCAAGAAGCTTGATGTAGACTCCACCAGTGTATATGTACAAGACTCCAGGGATAATAATGCTCACTTTCAATTCCAGAAGCACCATTATACTTGAAGTATAGGCATTAACACTTCAGTTTTTCAGTAGAACAAACTAAAGCTACACCAGATCGTGTTAAACATGCAACATAAATTCAGCAATATAACTCACAATATAATATACACACACGCACACAATATAGCAATCAATTACTAAGAACAGCTTTTAATCATTGAGATCTTTATGAAAACCAGCACATGTGGGTTATGATTAAACTGTTAGCAGTACCTTGTTTCTGTGTGAAGACTTTTGGAATACATTTGCAGGCATGGCTTAGTCTCCAAACAATACAAGGCATGGAATTAATTTGCATTAGTCACTACCATCAAAAGAACTTCCAAAATCTGAATTGTCAGAATTACAGGTTTAGAGGCAGGTTTTTTTTGATTAATTAAAACTTCCAAACAGACAGAGTTGTAACTAAACAATTGTGTTAATATAAATTTTAGAAATGACCCAAGGGCTTTTTAAAAAAAATTTCCCTTCACTCCCAAAAACAAGTCTGGTTATCAAAAATGGCATACTTTCAAAACACGATCCAAGTTAAATACAAAGGTAATATAAATACAGCTGAGGGTGGTGCAATTTCCTCTGCATCCACATCTAATTTTCCAACAAAATCTCCTGTGACTGCTCAACAGATAAAGTTTTCAAATCCCCCTCCCATCATTCACTCGACTTCTAGTTCAGACCAAAAGCATTGCTAAGTAAAGAAGGTGAAATAGAACATTAGAGCAGCATAATTCTCAGTGAGGAATAAACTGGCTTATTCTTCAGGTCTTCAAGTGATTGGGCTGCACTAAGTTGAGACTGCAGCACAGCACCACTTAGCAACAAGGGAGGTGCCCTTTTTGTTGCTGCAGTCTAACTGCTAAGACTCACACATGAATAATGGATGCTCGGACAAGGTTCTGGAGGGTGATGAGTGCCGGTACAAAGAAAAGGAATGAAAAAGGAGAGAAGAGTAGAATTGGAGGAAAAAATTACGTGGAAAGTAAGTGAAGAAATGTGAAATTTTAGTCCAGTTCTTTATGACGGATTTATTTTTAAACATCTAAAAAACATGATCACAACTGACATCGCTCATCAATGCTTGCAATTCTTTTTTCAAATGCATTCAGTGTGACTAATGAAATAATATCTACACTAACCTTTTAGGCAAGTGTGTAACATAAAAGACAAGCAAAACAGGAAATTTTAAAACATTTGACACATACCTGCCATGTGCGTGAAAATCCATATGAACAAATTGGTCATCATGGGAAATGGACCTCTTGGCACGTTGGTGTTTCTGATGCAGGACATCAGTATCGTATGTTAAACCTTCATAATGCCGGATGTATTTGTTCAGAGGGTTTCCATATTGTCCTGAAAATAGAATTAAATATCAGATACACCGTTCACAAGGTGACATGATTGGTTTGGATGAAGACAGCCCTTCAGGCCATTCGATCTCATCCTTCCAGAATATCCACTCTACCATCTTCCCGTCAGAGCATCGACCTTTTTATATATAAGATATATAAAAATGAGGCCAGCGAGACATTATGACAATGAGATACTAGCTTACTTACACTTAAAACTCTTGGTGCAAGAGCAAAATGAACACAAAACGAATCCAAATTTGAGTCCAAAACATGTTGCTACTGGTTTAAAACAATTGAATTGCAGTGATACTCCAATAGTAAGTCTTTGCGAGTTGAGGTCCAGATGTGAAATTTGAACCCATAATATCCTGACTCAGAACTGAGAGTACGACACTGATCCAAGCTGACAAAAGTGAAGTTACTCCGCTTTGCTGATGACAATGTTGCTGAGAACAGTAACTCCCGCATGGCCTACACAAGGATCTGTGTCCTTCAAACAGAAACTTTCAAGTTATTCCTTATTCATCCTTAGAGATCTTGGATGAGTCAATTTCTTGTTAGAAATGATCAACGGACATTGATGCTACCAATCATTTGACAAATATCCAGCTTGTATCTCTTTCAGGGAAGAGAATTGCAATCTCCAAATAATCAAACCCATCCATTCAATTCTGGTTTTGTTTTTCTATCACTAGGCTTCTGCCTCATTTGCCTGCCTGGTTCTCAAAACACTCTGCCAGATGCTCTGCGTAACTATATTTTTCTCGTCCTGACCCCATCACATCTGATTGATCATCAGTCTCACTGTAAATTAAGTTCATAAATGGTTAGCGCCTGCAATGACTGGGGAATCTCAGTTGGGAAGGGAGAGATTAATAGGGAATCAAAAGTACAAAATCTCAAAGAAAATAAAGGATCATTTAAAAATGTTTTAATAATAATAATAATCCTTGCATTTGATATAGCGCTTTTCATGTTGGGAGGACGTCCCAAAGCGCTTCACAGAACACACTGTAAAGTGAATTGACTGTATATTTGTGGGCGAACGCGGCAGCCAATTGCACACAGCAATGTCCCACAAACAGTCGTAGATTGAAAATGACCAATTTATTATTGTTTTGGGTTTTTTGGAGGGATTATTATTAGGCTTCTGGAGTAAGGAAACTTGCCCAAGGTTTCTCCCTGCCTGGAATTGAACTCAGGTCTCTTGCTTGCAAAGCGAGTGCTCTAACCACTGAGCAACAGGACTCCACGACTTTAAGTTTATTTAGGGACAAAACTGTAGTTAAGATTCATGTGAATATTTATTGATTGGGAATATTTCTTCAGATGAAAGAAACAATAATTTGATTATTCCAATTAATCTATTGAAACTGATGAAATGGAAAATCTGATAGAGGTAAGAATATCTCAGCACCTCACTGCTTAGGACATTTATATATTGAACTCCATGGCACTTTATCATGTGATGAATTTGGAATATTATACTTCAACAACTCTTTACTAAACAGTTTATGGGAGTAGTCCAATTTGTTCAAACCTTCAGTATATAACCAAACTAGTTATCTTAATTTGCCTAATAAGCCATCAGATACTTTTTTTTATATACCTAGTTTTATGTTAATCGCAAGTACAGGAATTTTACCCGTCCGCTTTGCATTTGCGGAGAAATCAATTAAACTGTGACAACAAAAAGCAATTTCGGAGCTTTTCATGGTCGAAAATGCTCCAAGATTTAGCAAAAGATGTTAGTTCTGCATTTGAACTACTGCACCCAAGGCATATTGTAATTGTAAAATCTATACATAAGGCACTAATGGAACTGCAACAGAAAAGGCACGATTCCATCCCTGTAACCAATATGTGAAACAGCTAGATCTTATAAAAAATTTAAACCTCCATACCACTGGCTACTACTACAGCTATATATACTATTAAAGGGGACATCAAAGTAACTGTCCTCTTGTCCGATAGCTCTGAGACTACACCATTTTTTTTAAAAAAGCCAACTTCCAAATTATAAGATCGCCACCGACAATTTCCTGTGCACAACTTCTGATCATATCATTCCCCATTAACCCTGCAAGACAAAGTCCTGAACAGATAGTGGTCTTAGGCTGGACACGCAGCTGGAAAGCTTGCCGGACAGTGCTTTCAATGGCAAGCTTTTTAGCAGTAACACATTCTAAGGTCCCCAAGCCTCGTCTCTTGTCAGCGTGTGCCTAGTACTCTCTAGGATTAAGTAAGCAGGAAGCATCTCTCCAGGGAGAAAGTGCGCATTCCATTCAAATCCACAGGAATTTCAATGTATAGGTGGGATGTATGGAACTCTATTTGGTTTGGATACTCTTAAGCACAGTGATGGTCACGCCTTAATGATCCCCGCTGGACAGATATCAGATGGAGGATTGAGTTTCGACGTATCAAATTCGCTTTCTCACTCCTCAGTCAAATGGAAAACCAACACTCACTCTCTCAGTTTACATATAAACGCACTTCAGATAACATGCCATTGAGATAACACAATATCCTGTGTAGAGCGAAGAATACACACGCACTAAGTTGAATATAGTCTGTGTGCACCATGAAAGTTATAGCTTTTTTTAAAAAATCGCAGGAATGGATTGTGGTTTGTTACAAAATGATGTTTCATGAATTCTAAAAATTGTCATACAAACATCTCAAGGGAACTTACACAAATTGCAACATATCTGATGAATGTCACAGGAAGGACACACCTTATTCTAAATGTATGCAACGTTGAACTCATGTCACAAGAACTGACTACAACCAACAGAGGGTTTTTTTTCCGCACAACTTGCTTCAGTCTCTAGATTCACTGTTAGATTATGGGAAACCATGAATGTAGTGCTGGTGCTCTGCATTGTCAGAGATCCTTGACATTTGGTATCCAATGGCACTATTCAAAAGAGAAGGAATTTTCTCCCAGTGTCCTGGCCAGAAATTCCCCCGATAAAATTGATCATGCATTACATGGCTATTTTGGGGACATTAATATGAATTCCTATGAAGAAGCACTTTGAAACCACCTCACAACTTGAAAGCCGCTAATTACAATGCGAGGATTATTTATTATTATAATATTCGACTTTGTTTACAGTGCCCCGAAGTAACTCTTCGACTTATGAAAAATCGGTTAATTGTGGAATTCTTTAAAGGACCAATTCTTATCATTAACAGAACATAAACTAAATATTAATTGTTATCGATTATTATACAGTTACATTTAACTTCTTGAAATTCACTCGAACATATGAAGCACAGATTAATGTAAGTCACTGGGGAGTGGGCAGGAAAAGTTTGCACTGCATTACAAGAAATGAAAGAAATCTACTCATTTGAGTTCTCCACTAGATTACATGGCCTAGCGAAGATTCATTTTATATTGCACAAGATTTCATTTCCACTAAATGGTTTTCAGATAAGATATCATGATTAAAAACAGCAGCGGTTCAACAACACCATAACCAATGTGCAACCTTAAAGCAATATAGTTTGTATTAAAATCTACTGTAAGCTGTGGTATAATAAATAGCTATGGGACACAGTTTCTTACAATTTCATTATGTATCCATCATACATTCCATCTCATGTTTTAGTAGAAATCCTAAATAAAATCCTTTTCAGAGTTATTTCAATATAGGTCCAGAAAATGACAACAATTAGTATTTTCAAAAAAAAGCATTACATTGTAAATTTGCAAAGCATTAAAACAACCTACTTTTTAAAAATTGTACACCAATTAAACAATTAATGCTCTTTTCCAGATCCAATGAATGGCAGTGGAATATATCATATTACAGCTGGTTTGATTCTCAGCAGAATGAGTACAAAATTAGCCTTGGGCAGGAAAACAGCCCCAAATGGAGTTCCACATGTTTCCAAATATTGAGTCAGCTTGCATGTAGATGCTGGTCAATGACAGGTTCGATGTCTACTGCAATGACTCCACATCCTTTTGCACCCAATGCCCAGACAAACAATCATGAAATGATGACTATGTAGGCATCGGTTTCCCAACTTCTGAAAATGTCATTGCAGAATGTGTTCTGTAAGTAGCAATGGAAAGGTTTTTACCCCCAAAATCAAACAAAACAAATCCAGATTTACCAAGTGAGCGTTCACCGTGTACAAGATCCAGCTCCTGGCAAAAGTAACAGATGGGCATTCCACATCTAACTGCTGAGCACAGCTTAGCTAGGTCTCCAGCTGTTAGGGAGCAGGACAGGCAGTGTTTTTTGTGATGTCACATTTGCAGAGATTGATGGCTAAATCTATTGCTTGAACAATGATACAGCCTCATTATATCCGTGGAATGTCACTTAACAACCTACAAAAGGCCTTATTAATACTCTCCAAGCGGAATTGTGCTATCATCAAAAATAAACAATTTATTTTAAAAAAATACCAGCTGACTATTGTAATTCGCAAAAAAAGGAAGCTGAATTGCCGTACACCAAAAATTAATAGCTGCAAAACGCTCATTTACATATTCAAAACCCACCATGCACACAAAATCTGACACTTCACAGCAAGTCATCACTCTCAATATCCCTTTCAAAAAGGGTTATGAAGAACTATTAACTTTGAGATGAAAGCCAGAAGTGCTCTCTGATAGGAGCCTGGCATGCTTTTCTAATCCACTCTAAAGTCAGCATTGACGTCAATTAGGAAAAAGCAATTATATATAATTTCTACCTTAAAGCACTGCCCCATTCTGGCCATTCTTCACATGCGAAAGCAAGGGTCAGTAAACCATGCAATTGTAGGGGGCATAAATAGCTGAGCCTAATCCTTCAATACACAGCGAACTTCTTACCCAAGCATTCCTAAAGATGACGTCAAGGCAGGATAACCTGCAAACCCACTATCTGCTCCTCCATATTCCCTAACCGACTAATTTTGAAGCAAAATAATTTATAGATGGAAGCATCTGAACCTATAAATATAGTTTAGCCCAGGCAACATTACAATATTCTG